CCCAAAATCCTTAGTAAAAACTTTTACTAAATATTTTAGTTTTCCGTAGAAAAAAATTCGTTCAATAAGGGTTCCAAAAGAGGTTGATCGTAAATAAGAGGATTGGTTGCGGAGAAAAACAAAAAAAGATTCGTATTCGCATACATGGAAATTATATAGGAACAAGAATAATCTTTGATTCCTTTTTTTCAAAAAAGAAATGAATTCCTTTGGAATAATAAGACTATTTAAATTACGAGACTCATAAAGAAAAAATCTTACTAAATGCAAAGAAGAGGCATCTTTCAACCAGTAGCGAAGAGTTTGAACCAAGATTTCTAGATGGGCAGGGTAAGTTATTAATATATCTAACACATAATTTAAATGGAAGAATTTGTCCTCTAAAAAAGGAAATATTGAATGAATAGATCGCAAATTATGAGATTTTACTATTTCTTTTTGTTCTTTTTCCCCGCAGGCAGATATTAATAACGGGGAAAATGGAATTTCTACAATGACAGCAAACCCTTCTGTCATCATTTGCGAATACAAATTCGTTTTGTGCTTGTACCCCAAAATATCATTTTGGCTCGAATCATTAACAGAAAGAATCAAATGATTCTGTTGATACATTCGAGTAATTAAACGTTTTACAATTAGTAAACTATATTTCTTGTCACCCGAATTTTCCAACAAAATCGCTTTATTGAAACTATGATCATATGCAAATGCATAAATATATTCCTGAAAGATAAGTGGATAGAAAAAGTTATGTTTCCAAGACTTATCTAGTTGTCTATGTCCTTGGAATTCTTCCATCTCAATTGATCCCGAAAACAAAAGTAAAAATAGCAGGTTTCTTGGGTTATCAAATAATACATAGTGCGATACAGTCAAAACAAGATATTTTATTATGAAATAATAGATACCTCGGAGATGGGTAAATTTATCAGCAGACTCTCTATTTTTGTTGCATCTAATTGGTTTTTTTTGTTATAAGAAAAAAAAAATTAGATGGTTAGAAATCCTTTATTTTTTAAACCTAATCGCTCTTTTGATTTTGGAATTTAGACTAAAGTTTTTATCAATATACTCTTTCTTCTACACATTTCTCGCTATCCCCTTATGTATAATGGATAATCGAATAATTAGGATTCGCTATAAAAAACAAAGCATCCACTCGTGGGAGAATCCTTTCCCGCATCAGTTACTAATTTATTTTAACGTCTAATTAGACCGGGAAATCATTCAAATTATGAAAATAAACTCGTTGTTCTTTCTTTCCTCAGAATTTGAACCATAAGGTTCGATCCATTTATTCAATTGACCCAACTTTGAATTCATTTCGTTTCCTTGCAACAATTCAAATAGAATTGTATACCAATTTGGTAAGAATGAAATATTCTCCGAATTTTATATTGATACGACATGCTCTTTTTTCCATTCATTTCCTTTCAGGATCAGTCGTGGTCTTATAAACTCTACCGATGATGTAGACGAATTCTTTGCTTCATCCAAATATGTAAAAGATTCTAGCCGCACTTAAAAGCCGAGTACTCTACCATTGAGTTAGCAACCCGAAAAAGAAATAGATATGTTATGTAGATACAATCGAGATAAAAAAAATGGAATGGAATCAAAACGTCCAATTAGGAAAAAATCCAAACAAAGTTTTCGAATCGATTCCGAACATAAAAGCAAACAGATCAGATGACAATCAAAAAATTTCTTAGAGAAAATACATTTCTAGACCAAATATTATTATCTATTTTTTGGATCCAAATTCTATATTGGAAAAAATCCAACACACCCTTGAATAAAAAACCTATTTTTGGGGCCTAAGACCGAAATAAACCATTTCATTTTTTCTACTTATTTTGACTTCAAAATTGAATTATATTTGTTCAATATACTCTTGTCAATATAAATAGAAAAAAATACAAATATTAATATTTTTGAATTTCGTTATTTAATATTATTTTTATTTAATTTAAATATATGATTATGATAAAGATTTTCTTTAATCGAATTATTCGAATATTATAAATAGAAATACGATATATACAATATATAATATATTTGGAAATCGAAGTTGAAAAAGTCAAATATATAATATAAGAAAATTTTTGTGTTGGATTGGCACTACATAAGAAATCTACAAGAATAGAAAAAGAAGAAAAAAAGTTCTACCAAACTACAACCGCATTATCTTTGTTTTTTATTTGATTAATTGAACTTCGTTTGATTAAGCCGAAATTCTTTAAAAATCTCCGCCCTCTTTAAAATATCATAAACAGTTTCTGTCGGTTGAGCACCTTTTTCAAGAAACTGTAGAATAAGAGGAACATTTAAATAAGTTTGACTTTTTATCGGATCATAAAAACCCACTTTCTGCAAATCTCTTCCTTCTCTTCGGCACCGAACATCAATTGCAACGATTCGATAGACGGCTCATTGGGATAGATTAGATCAACAACACCCCCCTTGGAAACGTATAGGAGGTTTTTTCCTCGTACGGCTCGAGAAAAATGATTCAAAGTTAGGTATATATAAATTAGAATGCCCGATCAAATAAGCCCATAAAATCATCAAATGAATTAGACTAAGAATTAAGTCCTGTTCATTTCTTTATTTCCTAAAAAAAAATCATTTGTATACTCATAACTCAAGTTGAATAGCTCAAACGAAAATCTTGCATTTCATTTATTGAGCAGTCTCAAATACCCTTTTGTCTCATTTAGAATCGATTTGAATTCGAAATTATGATCCAAATCCAAGTGTTATGACAATTAACAATTAAAAAGGTATTTCCTTGTTCCGGAAATCTTTATCTTTTTTTTTTGAATCATTGGGTTTAGACATTACTTCGTTGATTAGGAATACTTTCAAAAATGGCAGCAACATGCCCTTTTTGTTATTTCGTTCTATCAAAGAATAGAATCATACGGACGTCAGATTCCCGACGATATATATAATTATCATATTATCGAAAAGGTTTTAGCAATTCCAATAAACAATTTACCTTTGGGATTTGAAACTTTTTTTTTATCCTTTCGATTTTTCTGTCAAAGATATACTTACGAAGTTGGTCCGGCTTATTGATTGACACTAACCCTAGACCCTTCTCTTTTCCCTTGAGAAATAGCTCAATACTTTATTCCTCGAGCTCCATCATGTACTAGTTTTATTCCACCCCGACAAAAAATACAATGCAGGTTCGAGTGGAATAGAACAAAGGATGTCGAGTCAAGAGCATCCTTTATTAGAGAATGATGGATACTAAGAATCCACAACGGATCATGTCCTTCAAGTCGCACGTTGCTTTCTACCACATCGTTTCAAACGAAGTTTTACCATAACATTCCCCAAATTTGGAACCGGTATGCGGTTAATTCAATTATGAAATCATGAATAGTCATTGGTTCAGTCAGAACAGCCAATACATGGGTATGGAATATATCTTAAGTTATTATAAGATATTTTGAGTAATGGAATGCTTCTTTTTTTACAATAAAATAAAGGAAATATCCCTAAGAAATACAAATCCATGTTTCTTTTTGAGCTCGACCCTTATTAATAAATGAATAATCAAAAAAATAAATCAAAATTTAATATAATAATAGGTTGGAAAATCAACTTTCTTTGCCGGGATGAATAAAAAAATAACTACCCTCTTTATATATTATATAGAAATATATTGGGGATGTATATATGCTTAAGGGCACTCTTTTTTTGGAATTCAAATCAGTGTATGTAATCTATAACCCCATCTTGCCTAAATCTCCAACGAATTCACTTGTATCCGTGTGTCATTTGAACACTTATCTTCCTTTCATTTGATGAAATGGGAAAAAAAAGATTCATTTTTATTAAAATCAATCATTAACAGAAGGAATTAAACTTTAGAAACCGAAAAATGCAATCTTAAATTACATATGCTCCGGCTCTGGGACGGAAGGATTCGAACCTCCGAATAGCGGGACCAAAACCCGATGCCTTACCACTTGGCCACGCCCCACTTATATTTCTATTCTACACTACTAAACACTAATATTGTTATTAATTGTTCGTCAATTCCAGCCCAAATAGCTAAAAAATGGATTCGATTCCGTTGTTAGTATTTTGATACGTGTAGGTATAGAATTCAAATGAATTTATTGATCATTACATAGAATTCCATTAAGATATTGTATGAAAGTAGAATTTCTTCTATTCTCGACAGAGAGTAGAAGGTTTTTTGATTGAGTGAGTAAGTTCAAAAAAAAAGAAGGCCCTTTTTCTTCATTTTTTCTTTCTATCAATAACTCAATCAAAATGCAATAAAAAAAAAAAATGTCTGTTATGCTTAATATCTTTAGTTTGATCTGTCTTAATTCTGCCCTTTATTCGAGTAGTTTTTTATTCGCCAAATTACCTGAGGCTTACGCTTTTTTGAGTCCAATCGTAGATTTTATGCCAGTTATACCTTTACTTTTTTTTCTATTAGCTTTTGTTTGGCAAGCTGCTGTAAGTTTTCGATGAGCTCTTTCATCGTGTCCTAGAACAATGAATTATTTTTTAGAGAAAAATGATTCTAATATTCTAATACTAAATAATTGATAAAATCGGATAAGGCTTGCCATATGAACTCTTGATTAAAACGTTCAAATTTTTGAATCGACACAATCCATATTGTTTCGTTTTCCGATTATAACTCTTTTTCGTAAATGAAAAAGTTTGATCCTCCATAAGATCAACAAGTAGGTATAAGAAAATTATGGATAAGTAAGATAATAATATATAAGATAATACTAACTTCATTTTTTTATTGATTTTTTACAATTACAAAAATTGTTTTCGATTTTGAAAAACTTTTTCGGGTTTAGACGTTAAATCAAATTCAAATTAATTATGGGATATATGGTATAAAAATAGAGAATCTATTCTCTTTTTACAAAAAAAATGACCTTGGAGATTGTGTAATGCTTACTCTCAAACTCTTTGTTTACACAGTAGTAATATTCTTTGTTTCTCTCTTCATTTTCGGATTCCTATCTAATGATCCGGGACGTAATCCTGGACGCGAAGAATAAAAGGAGTTCTTTTCTTTATTTTCATCTATTTTTATAGAATTCTATTCTATATAGACGAAATCGATTTTCTAATTAAAACTCATTAGAATGCTATTCTAGATTTGTCATTTTTTTTAGTTATATTTTGAAAAAAAAATCAAAAAGATTTAAGAACTTTAAAACAGAAATCAAATAGTAAGATTCCGCTATCAAAGGAAACGGAAAGAGAGGGATTCGAACCCTCGGTACGAATGACTCGTACAACGGATTAGCAATCCGACGCTTTCGTCCACTCAGCCATCTCTCCCCGTTGAAAAGAAAAAAGGAATAGTCAAATATTAAATAAATAATTTAGCAAAATTCGAAATAGAATCTATATAACAATACGGTTTATATAACTATATATAATATATACAAAATAGACAAGTTGTATTGTGTAATACAACATTAAGTACAAGTTTTTTTTTTTTAATTCCAACCCGTTAGATAAAGTAAGAAAGATTCGAAGGATTCATTAAAAGATTCAATTTCAAATCTATTTTCTAGTAAAATAAAAAATAATAGAATATATACAAACAAAAAGAATGAATATCAATAGACAATAGAGAATATTCAAATATAGAAAGAAAAGAGCAAAAGAAAGACTTCTTCACCCGAAAGGGCCTTTTTGATTCCCACGGCCTGGCCTAATCCGTCCCTCGCCAGGCCTTTTTTTTTGTTTTAACGGATTCATAGGATCTAGACTAAAAAAAACTATTTATTTGATAATGATAAAAAAATGCTTGTTATTAAAACAAAAGCACAATAATAAAATAGACCCAACACGCTATTTATTATTATCTTTTCGTCCCCATTTTTTCTATCTATTTCTTCTATTTTTTAGTTATTCAACTATCTTTTCATAATCTCATCAAATCCTCCAACAAAAATGCCAATACTCCAAATTTCATGATTCTTTTATAATCCTGTCTTGATTACGTCTAATTTGAATGTTCGACAAAAGTTGTATTTGGATACAATAATCCAACTGTAGCGGGTATAGTTTAGTGGTAAAAGTGTGATTCGTTTCATATAACCCTTTAATAGTTAAGGGGTCTGCCGGTTTGATTAATATTCCGATCAAAAACTTTATTTCTTAAAAGGAATTAATCCTTTCCCTCTCAATGAAAAGTTTGAGGAAAATTATACATTCTCGTAATTTGTATCCAAAAGTCAATTAAAAGTGGAATTTTGGGATTATGAAATTACGAAACAGAAAATTGTATTCAAATTGAATTGGATCAATACTTCCAATCGAATCAGTATAAGTAAAAGATCCATGGATGAAGATAAAAAAGGGTTTCTAATCGTAACTAAATCTTCTATTTTTTCTAGAGAGAAGCAAAATAGCTATTAAATGATGACTTTAGTTTACTAGAGGCTTCAATCAACATATTTCTTTTTGTTTTAGCTCGGCGGAAACAAAATACTTTTCCTTAGGATTCTCTCAACTAGAAATAGAGAACGAAGTAACTAGAAAGATTGTTAGAATCGGTTTTTCTAGAGGGATCATCTAGAAAGTAAGTTGTTTTGAATTAAATGCATTCATACAAAAAGCTGACATAGATGTTATGGGTGAAATGAATTCTCTTTTGTTTTGTAATTTCGTTCCCACCTTAATTTAAACTTAATATTTGGGAATTCTCCATTTTCCATAAAGGAGCCGAATGAAACCAAAGTTTCATGTTCGGTTTTGAATTAGAGACGTTAAAAAGAAGAAATCAACGTCGACTATAACCCCTAGCCTTCCAAGCTAACGATGCGGGTTCGATTCCCGCTACCCGCTCTATTATGTATTCATTAATGCATCATTGAGTTGAATACACAATTCAAAAAAATTGTCTCATCTCACATATGTTTTTTCAAAACAAAAAATAAGTTTTAATAAAATAAAAAATGCTAAAAAATAGGAATCAAAAGCGTCCATAGTCTAATGGATAGGACATAGGTCTTCTAAACCTTTGGTATAGGTTCAAATCCTATTGGACGCAATATATTTCCATATATTTTTTCTATATCCATGTGAAAAACGGCATTTTTTTTTAATAAAAAAAGAATAAAAAAACGAAGAGAGATCGATTTCTTTATGCTTGTTCCTGAAGTAGAAAGCGTTCCATTTGTTCTTGAATAGCTTCCTTTAAAAGGGCCTCTGCTTCCTCAGTAAATGTCTTGGTAGAAGATATGATTTCTTGCAACTCCGGTTTATTCGTTTTTACATAAGTACGTAATTCGACAAGATATTTCCTTACTTGCTCAAGTTCTAATGAATCAAGATAACCGTTCGTGCCGGTATAGATAGTCATTACCTGCTCTTCGACCGTGAGAGGGGCGGATTGAGGCTGTTTGAGCAATTCACGTAATCGTTGCCCCCGTGCCAACTGATTCTGAGTAGCTTTATCAAGATCAGAAGCAAATTGTGCAAAAGCTTCTAATTCGGCAAATTGCGCCAGTTCCAATTTTAATTTACCAGCTACTTTTTTCATGGCTTTAATTTGAGCGGCGGATCCTACCCGAGAAACAGAAATACCCACATTAATAGCCGGCCTGATTCCAGCATTGAATAGATCGGCGGATAAGAATATTTGTCCATCTGTAATCGAAATTACATTAGTAGGAATATAAGCTGAAACATCTCCTGATTGGGTCTCGACTATTGGTAAAGCAGTCATACTTCCTTCACCTAAACGAGAACTTGATTTAGCGGCTCTTTCCAAAAGTCGTGAATGCAAATAAAAAACATCTCCTGGATAAGCTTCACGCCCAGGCGGCCTTCGTAATAGAAGCGACATTTGTCGATAAGCTTGTGCTTGTTTGGAAAGATCATCATAAATGATTAAAGTGTGTCGCTCACGGTACATAAAATATTCCGCTAGCGCCGCTCCGGTATAAGGAGCGAGGTACTGTAATGTAGCGGGGGAATCCGCTGTTTCGGATACCACAATAGTGTACTCCATTGCCCCCCTTTCCTGAAAGTTAGTAACTACCTGCGCAACAGAAGATGCTTTTTGTCCAATAGCTACATAAACACATATTACATTTTGTCCTTGTTGGTTGAGAATCGTATCTGTGGCTACTGCTGTTTTACCGGTTTGTCTGTCTCCGATAATTAATTCTCGCTGACCACGTCCTACAGGGATCATTGCATCAATAGCAATAAGCCCGGTTTGAAGAGGCTCATATACGGAACGTCTCGAAATAATACCGGGAGCGGGAGATTCAATTAACCGAGATTCAGAAGCTGCAATTTCACCCCGACCATCAATAGGTTTAGCTAGAGCATTTATAACACGACCCAAATAAGCCTCACTCACGGGTATCTGAGCAATTCTTCCAGTTGCTTTTACAGAACTTCCTTCTTGTATCATCAAACCGTCACCCATTAATACAACACCAACATTATTTGATTCCAAATTCAGAGCAATACCTATTGTCCTCTCTTCAAATTCTACTAACTCCCCTGCCATTACTTCATCAAGACCATGAATACGAGCAATGCCGTCACCCACTTGAAGTACGGTGCCGGTATTTACAACCTTTACTTCTCGATTATATCCTTCAATACGTTCACGGATAATTTTGCTAATTTCGTCTGCTCGAATGGTTGCCATGAGTCTTTCTTAATTCGTTTTTCTTTTGGAAACAAAAAAATAATACCTACATACAATTAACTAGAAGGACTAATCAGTTATTTCGTTCATCGCACCAAACATGCCAATATTAGCATTGATGGTCCGTAAATGTAACTCATTGTTCAAAGAACTATTCAGAGTCCCTAGAGCTCCTTGTAAGGCTTGTTGAAAAACCCGTTGTCGGACTTGATTAATCGCTTTTTGTTGTTCAAACTGAATGGTTTCGTTTTTATAATTTTCGAATTGTTCTAAAGTTTTATAAGTTGAATTAATCAAATTCATTTTTTCTCGTTCTATTTCAGAATATCCATTCACTCGAAACTGATCCGCGTCTATTTCCACTTTCTTTAAGCGAGCCCTGGCTTTTTCCAACTGTTCAATGGCCTTTCCGCGTAGTTCGTCTGAATTTCGAATAGTATTCAAGATCCTCTGTTTTCGATTATCTAATAAATCACTTAATGAAAGTGGATTATCTTTCCATTCATTTCAAAACATTCATGACCCCTTCCCGAACCAAACTTGAATCTTTCAATTCATTTGGCTCTCACGCTCAATTACTTCAATTATTTATGGCAAATTTCCATATCTTTTTTGACTGTAATGAACCTATCCTCCCTTCTCTGTTCATATGCGAAAAAAAGAAACCGATCATTAATCAAGACTAGAAAATTCGGAGGACTCTTCTGACCCAAACAAAAATAGAAAAATAGATAAGTCAGCAAAGTTGTTTTTTTTATTCAAATCCAAAAATTTGTGTTACTTTATATGTAGGTCATCGACTTGGCCTTTGGCATTTATTTCCTTAATAGTAATAAAAAAAGCATAAACGTTTTTTCAATAACAAGAAATTAAGGGATTCAAATCATTTTATCGACATGAGTGTTCTATATCGAAAGATTTCTAACTATTTTTCTTTATTTAATTGAAAAAATGTCTCGGTATTCGGTATATTAAGTATTAACAGAGTGGTAGAAAGAATACCCTGCTGTATTTGGACTTCAAACAATTTAAGTTTTAACCATGTTATGGTAATGATCCCACATTATTATTATTGGTTGATAGAGAATCAAAGTATAGTTACCAACAAATCCCGAAATGCTATAGTTCTTACATATGATTTCTTTATTTATTATTGATTTCAGAAGTCATTCGTGAAATCATGCAACTTCCGCCCTAATTATAAAGAAAAAGCGGTAGAGTTACAGTTGGTTGAATCCAACCTATTCTTGAAATAAACAACCCGCACACACTCCCTTTCCAAAAAAGATCAATACACCAAGCACTACACTGAGATTTATTAGATTTGTTGCTAAAATATCGGTATTAAACCCGAAACTCCCGGCGGATGGCCAGTGACCCAAGAAAACGAAAGAATCGGTTACATTTTTCATATGATCTCCTCTTATAGATAAACTAAAAAATCGTTGTATTTTTTAACTTCTTTACTACTTCTAAATTCGAAATGAATTTTTTTTTGAATTGAGATTCCCAACAAAAAGAATACTTAACTTATTGGAATAGAATTCCTAATTAGGTACTCGGTTTCGTGTGAATTGCGAAATACTCCTTTTGTTGCAACACTTCTCCCTCGAACTAAGAAGGGGAAGGAAGGAAGAAAGCGAGTGGGTAACACGAATTCTTCATCCTCAAATGAAGTCCTTCCCGCGTATTATTTTCTCAACGAATAAGTAATTCTGTAGGAGCAATTTTTCACCATAAATGTGAAAAAGCAACCTCCAAGTTCAAGACTAGAAAAGAAATACGTATTTCTTATATTTCTTTTTCTTTTCTCGAATTAAACAAAAGGATTCGCAAATAAAAGTGCTAATGCTACAACCAATCCATAAATTGTTAAAGCTTCCATAAAAGCTAAACTAAGTAATAAAGTACCGCGTATTTTTCCTTCTGCTTCGGGCTGTCTGGCAATACCTTCTACAGCTTGTCCCGCGGCAGTACCTTGACCAACTCCAGGTCCAATAGAAGCAAGCCCTACAGCCAATCCAGCAGCAATAACGGAAGCGGCAGAAATCAGTGGATTCATGATAAGTTCCTCACACACAAAAAAAATAAATGGTTAATGATACAATCAACCAATGCATTATGACTTAATTATTCCATTGCTAATATTAATCCAGTCGAAATAACTAACAATGCCGAATTGAAAATGGAAATAAGAATATTATTAAACCATTAGATCATTAGAAAGACTTCATCTTTTTTAGTTCCTACTTGTTGAGTCTTTCTGAATCAAAAGAACTTGCGTTTTTCCATTCCCTTTTTCTAATCATTAATCGTTTTTCGATCTTTTTCTTTATTTTGTCTGTTTATTCATTCAATTCGCAGTCATAAACGAACCTGAAAGACTTCGTCGGTTGGTATCGCTATCGAAATTCAAGTAGGACAAATTAACTATCAGTTCATATATAACTTGGCAATATCTAATATAAAATATACATGGATTTCTTACATAACGTAAACCGCTCTATTTTTGAGTCAATCGGATACCGCTAAACTGTATGTATTTGTATATTTCTATGCTCGAAATAAAATAGATTATCTTGATAGAACCTCTTAATCGAATATCTTGATAGAGTATCTTGAGCCACACATATATATTACCTTACTTGGATTTAAACTAAGATAGACTCTTCCTAAGACGAATCAATGATGACCTTCCAGGGATTCGCCTATATAAGCTGCGGCTAAAGTTGCAAAAATAAGAGCCTGAATACCACTTGTAAATAATCCAAGAAACATGACAGGTATAGGAACCACTAAAGGTACTAAAGAAACAAGAACAACAACTACTAATTCATCGGCTAATATATTTCCGAAAAGTCGAAAACTAAGTGATAGAGGTTTTGTGAAATCTTCTAAGATGTTAATGGGCAAAAGAATTGGAGTTGGTTGAATGTATTTACCAAAATAACCTAATCCTTTTTTTGTAAGACCCGCATAGAAATAGGCGACTGACGTGAGTAAAGCTAAAGCAACAGTAGTATTTATATCATTCGTGGGTGCGGCTAACTCCCCGTGAGGTAGCTGTATGATTTTCCAAGGTAAAAGAGCCCCTGACCAATTAGAAACAAAAATAAATAGAAACATAGTCCCAATAAAGGGAACCCAAGGGCGATATTCTTCTCCAATTTGAGTTTTGCTCACGTCTCGGATGAATTCAAGGACATATTCAAAAAAATTTTGACCTCCAGTCGGAATCGTTTGTGGACTCCGAACAGCTATTGCAGCTGAACCTAATAAGATAGCAATTACAACCCAAGAAGTTATAAGTACCTGGCCGTGGATTTGGAAACTTCCTATTTGCCAATAGAAATGTTGACCCACTTCCACACCAGATATATCATATAACCCCTTTAGCTGGTTGATTGAATATGATAGAATATTCATATTGTCCTCTGACAGAAATATAACTTAAAAAAATTATTTTGATTCAACGAACTCTTTCTTGACTTGGCTACTTTCATTTTCATTTTCTATTTTGGATACTGATTAATTCCATAATATATCCTGCTATTTTTAACAAGTTTTTGAGATTCAAGATCTAGTAACCGATATAAAGTTTAGGAAGTCGGTTTTTAATTTTATTATGAATCAGGGGTTTCTTATATAGCTAGAACGGCCTTCGCAAATTGCAAATACTAATTTGGTAAGAATTAATCGAATTGAAGCTATAGCGTCATCGTTTGCGGGAATCGAAATATCTGCAAGATCCGGATCACAATTTGTATCGATTAAACAAATCGTTGGAATTCCCAAAGTAATACATTCTCGAAGAGCCGTATATTCTTCGTGTTGATCAACGATGATTACAATATCTGGTAATCCTGTCATATATTTGATCCCACCTAGATATGTTTGCAAGTGAGATAATTGTCTCTTCACCACCGCTGCATCTCTCTTTGCGAGACGAGCGAGTCTCCCTGCCGTTTGTTCCATTCTCAAGTCCCTGAATTTATGAAGTCTCGTTTCTGTCGTGGACCAATTCGTTAACATACCGCCAAGCCACTTTTTATTAACATAATGACAGCGAGCCCTTATTGCAGCCCGTGCTACTGAGTCAGCTGCTTTATTTTTTGTCCCAACAATTAAAAATTGTTTTCCTCTACTTGATGCGTCAAAAACTAAATCGCAAGCCTCTGATAAAAAACGCGCAGTTCTAGTAAGATTTATAATATGAATACCTTTACATTTTGCGGAGATATAAGGCGACATTCTAGGATTCCATTTCCGAGTACCGTGACCAAAATGAACTCCCGCTTCCATCATCTCTTCCAAATGGATGTTCCAATATCTTCTTGTCATTTCTCCCCACACTTTCTCTTTTTTTCATTAAATTAAAGAGATGAGGTATTCTGAAATAAAAAATTGTTCCAACGGAACCTTCTTTTCTACCGCTCTACCGCGAATTGGCCGTTGATATACAACCCCAACCATTAATTCCTTTCTATTCGTCATTTTTTAATTTCTTTATTTTATTACTAAATTAAATAACCATAACAAATACATAAAAGATAAAAAAGATGAATTTCTTCTATTTTTGAAACCCCCAAAATCATTGTTGTTTTGATCTATCACGGAAATTCTTTGAAAGACAAGAATCAACTAATTCTCGGTGGTAAAACAAAATATCTCCCATCTTTCTCTCGAATCGATTATTTTTTTTTGTTTTCAAGGGAATGTCCTTATGTTGACTTGAATGGTGTATGAATCCTTTGAATCCGGTACCAACGGGTATCATCCCCCCTAGAACAACGTTTTCTTTTAGTCCTTTCAACCAATCGATACGGCCTCGGAGAGCCGCTTTTGCTAAAACTCGAGCAGTTTCCTGAAAACTGGCTTCGGATATAAAACTTTGAGTATTCAGAGATGCTCTCGTTATTCCCAATAAAGTAGCTCGGTAACATATCGCTTCTTCCAAAGCGCGTCCCGTTCGTTCCGCCCGAAACAATCCAATTAGTTCTCCAGGTAAAAAAACATTAGACATTCCATCTTCGGAAACCAAGACTTTTGATGTTATTTGACGTACAATAATTTCTATATGCCTATTATGGATCTGCACCCCTTGTGATCGATAAACCTTTTGGATCTTGTTAACCAACGAAATACGACTTTGCGCTATAGTTAGCTCAGCCCCAATCAAGAATTCCCAAGGACTTCCAAAAATTTTTGTTATACGTTCGTTCCAACCATCAATCCTCTTTTCTAGATTCATCGATATTGAATCAATCGAACGAACTTCTAAGACTTGCTCCACTTTTGGAAGGCCTTGCGTGATGTCACCAGACCTAGATTTTTCATATATAAATGTAACTAATGTATCCCCTTCATTAATGATTTCTCCATAATGACCATGAACTGTTGCTCCTGGAGTAGCCAAATAGGGCTTAGCCGATCTTATTACTACAGAGTCAAATTGAACAATTAGAACTTGACCCGATTTTAGGTGCGTTCCTTTTTTTGTTATACATACATTTTCACAAACAAATTGTCCAAGATAAATTTTTGTGGATATCTCTTCACAAAAATTATAATGAAGAAAATACCAATTCAATTTGAATGGATTCAAAATGATGTTACTGCATGGATCGGGATTATAAATTCTTCGAGTTTCGTCTATTAAATAATATTGAAATTTAAGTAGGTGAAAGGTTTGTTTTAAATTCTCAAGTTGCAAATAATTAGTTACCAAGATCTGATTATGAGTTATTAAATGGTAAAATGAAAAAAAATGCGCAATTTGAAGGGCTGCTCCTAACGGACCAAACAAATTCCTGATTGGAATTGGGGGATCTTTTTTAATTGATTCTTTGTGATATTTTACACCCTTGAATGGTAATGGGCCTAGTCGAAAACAATTGGATGATGACAAAATTATAAAAAATGGACATTCCTTGTTTATCCCCAACAACGTACGAACAGTTACTTGATTTTGGTTAAATGATTTTTGAAGTTTTGTCTTTGAATAAATGGAATAAAATGGATTCATATTGGTAGGATCTGCTCCCTCTTTTTTTTCAGATGATGGATCATTCCTTTTACCAATATATGAAATAGCGGATTTCGCTAAATTGACCTTTACGAAGTCTCGAATCATACCATTTGTTCTTACTTCAACAAAGGAAGTGCGGGCCTCTTCGATAGAAGAACCTTTTTTTTCTTGATTCCAATTCAATACTAAACAAGTACGTACTAATTGAATATTTGTGTCAGAAATTCCTCGAGTGACTTTGCCATTTCCATAAAGGATATAATTGACAACTCGAAGTTGCACATTATCCCTTTCCTGCAACAAATCCTGAGGGAAAAGTGTTGCTAAATTGATACCGTCCGTTATTTCATACGGGACTACGGGTCGAACCAAAACAAAATATTTTCTCTTAGTAGGGGTGATCCGTTGGACATGAATCCAATTTTTCAAATTTTGTGAGTCCTTGGAATTTGTCCTGCTTGGTGGGATCAAAATGCCACTGTGTCGGGATATCTTATCTGCCTCCCCAGGAAAAAGGATATCTCCCGAAAAAATTTTAAGTTCAATTTTTTTTTTTTTCCTCTCCATTCGGACCACTCCAGCTACTTGGCTTCTTGTATTTAAAGTAATCCGCGTATCAACTCCAATGATACTGTTGTTGCGTACCAGTATGGACGAAGATCCGGGTAAGATATGAACTTCTTCAGGAATGAAAAAAAACCGATCGACTTTCATTTGGTATTTTGGTCGAAATTCTTTGACTCCTCGATACTCAATCAAATCTTCTTTTTTAACGATTGAATGCATCTCTATAGTCCCATATTTAGTAATTCCCGAACTTTTTCTTCGGTATCGAGGATCATCGAAATAAGCAAAAATACAATTTCGACGGAAAATTCCATTTATGGGTATTTCAATCGAGATACCGGAAAGGGGCATTAATTCTTTTTTTCGTTCTTGACTCACTTGAAATGGAATAATGAATCTATTTCGTCGTTTCTTTGCCAATAAATCCAAATTTTTTGCAAGATATATGAGATTACAATGACCGATTCGATTAAGTTGTGAATAATACGGAATCCTATCCTGTTTTTTACTAAAAGAGTCCGGTAATTTATCTTTTACTTGATTGGTAGTGACTGAGGAATTCGAAATATATATTTGTTCGAAAGAAATAGAATGAGTGTTCATTTGATCTTGATCCTTGGAGAGCGAAAAGGGGACTACACTGGATCTGTACGGCTTTCCTGATAATATCCATAAATGGCTTGTTTTTGGTAAGAGATGAACATTACCATATGTAAATTCGGGTGCATGGTACACATCGGTACTCCAGTGCATTTCTCCTTCTGAATCAGAATAAATATGTTTTCTAACCCTTTCCTTAAAATTCAAGGTGGATGTCCCCGCCCGAATTTCAGCAATCACTTGTTCGGATTCAACATATTGATCATTTTGAACTAAAAGAAAACTTTTTGGGGGAATAGTCACATTATGTAGAATATCTTCACTCTCAATAGTGACATATAAGTCGATATAACATAGAAAAGCAGGGTGTCCATGACGTGTACGTGTAGGATGAACCAAATCTTCATTGAATTGTATTTTTCCATTAGAAGGAGCTCGTACATGTTCTGCAGTACCTCCTGTGAATACTCCGCCCGTATGAAAAGTTCTTAATGTTAGTTGAGTACCAGGTTCCCCAATGGATTGGCCCGCAATAATACCTACAGCTTCTCCCAATTCAACCAGGTCGCCGTGAGTAGGACTCCGGCCATAACATAAGCGACAGATCCAAGACGCACTTCTACAAGTAAAAGGAGTTCGAATGGGTATTGGTTGGGTTCGAAGCGTTATGAATCGATTGACAAGTCCAACCCCGATATCTTGATTTCGAGTGGCAATGCACCGTGAACCCATATATATATGGTCTGCTAATACACGACCAATTAATGTTTGGATCAAAATTTTTTCCGGCATCGTACCGTTTCGAGGATTTACAGAAATACCTCGAAGGGTCCCACAATCTCTTCTACGTACAACAATATGTTGAACTACTTCGACAAGCCTGCGCGTGAGATATCCAGCATCGGATGTTCGTACAGCAGTATCCACAACCCCTTTACGGGCTCCGTAGCAAGAAATTATATATTCTGTTAAAGAGAGTCCTTCGCGCAAATTGCTTTGAATAGGTAAATCAATCATTTGTCCTTGCGGATCCGACATTAATCCTCTCATACCTACTAATTGATGGACCTGAGACACATTTCCTCTAGCCCCCGAAAAAGACATTATATGGACTGGATTATAAGGGTCAGTCATCCTAAAATTGGGATTCATTTCTTGTCTCAAATATTCACTTGTAGAATACCATATCTCAATGGATTGACGTAATTTTTCTACCGCATGGATATTCCCATAATGGTGGTGTTTTTCCAAAATCAAACTTTGCTGCTCAGCATCTTGGACTAGCCATCCTTTCGAAGGTATTGTTAAAAGATCATCAATTCCTAATGAAATGGATGTAGCGGTGGCTTGCTGGAAACCCAGAGTCTTTAGTTGATCCAGGATGTGTGACGTATAGGCCATTCCAAAGTGATCTATTAATCTACTAATAAGTCGTTTCATGGCAGTTCCATCTATCGCTTTATTGTGAAAGACCAAATTGGCCCGTTCTGCCATAAGTACCTCCATATTCCGCTGAGTAGAATTCGACAATGAATGGGGTTGAGTTAGTGATTAGAAAACTTCCTTTTCTTGATCTTAATTCACCTAAAAATTCACAAATTATGATCCTAGTTGAACCCGAAAGACTCGAATTCCAAAAATACGATATGATTTAGTACCCTATGCGCAGGCTTGACAAAATCCTTGTATAGCTTCTTCAATTTCTCGATAAAGAGAAATATGACCAACAGTAGTTCGAATGTATATAAAACAAATTTCTTTTTTGACACTTCTTTTTATTAGATAATGCGCATAAATCTCATGATAGGTGCCCAAAGATTCATAGTGAACTTCAATGGGAGCTTCTTTTGAAGCAATAATGCGTTGATCTAGCTGCCACCGGAGCCACAAAGGACTATCTAAACGGATTCTTTTCTGACGATAAGCTCCAATTGCATCATAGGAATTACAAAAAAAGGGTTCTTTAATATATTTAGAATTATTATCATCAATTCTTTCATTTTGATAGGTTTTGTGATTCCATGGATTATATCTATTTGCACAAATACCTCGACGACTCCCACCCGTTAATATATAGAGTCCAATAAGCATATCTTGGGTTGGTACGGAAATGGGATCCCCAATAGCTGGAGACAAAAGATTCATA